TCATCTCCGGTCTTCTTGACTCCGTCTTGACACGGGGCTCAGGTGGGGAGGAGGAGAGAGTGCGATAGATGCGGCACAAGTATACGTTCACTATAAACCACTTCACGAACAAGTCAACGTCCCTGCTGCGCTATGCTGTAGAGCACTCGGTAAACATATTTGGTAACGATAGTCGAACTGTCGTCTAGGCGCACTTTCGGCCGTGCCAGCTACATGCGTCCTCTCCTGCCTGCGGTTGGAGGAGTGTGAGAGGTAACGATAGGGTGTCGGACCCTCAAGTAGATGTCACCTACAAAAATATGCCCTAAAATTGAGTGTGCCTGTAAACATCACTTATCATTCACCGTTACCATTATTTGAAACTCCCTCCCCCGTCCCTGACTAAATGTAAACTTACCAGCGGTGCTTTATTGGAAGTCCGTTATTTGTTGAAAATTGTTTTTTTGTTTAATTGTCACTTATTGCACACATTTTCTTTGCCGAATGACAGCGTACGGCAAAACTTTCGGCAGAAATTTATCTATTTTCTGTGACTTCTTGCCTTCCGTCCTGTGTGCTGCCCATCCCCTTAAACCCCGTCTACCACCATTCAACGTATGACACGGTCCACAGGCTAGCTAATGTTAGTTGACGGTCTTACACTCTATAAACCTGAAACAAGGTCCGTAAGGAATATATTTTAACGCGGAAGGGATTGATGTCGATCATGGGCATATGCCCAAGGTCCTCTTCATCGAGGTATCTTCACTGATCTTATGGGTTGAGACGTACAGTAGGAAAGCTAACTCATGAAATGTCGACCGAAATTCCGAGACGCGTTTTCATTTCGAAAAGGTCACTTTAGTAGGGTTGTAGAACTAATCATCTAACAGCATAATTCTATAAGAATTCAGTTATCTGAGAATGCTGGTTTTCGAACGAACTTTTCACGGCTGCATGCAAAAACTATACTCCATAAAAATGACTAATTAAGTAGCATAAATTTTTCTAACTGATTTTCAATGTCCTTAAAAATTCAATTATATTTCATAGAAAACGCGCGTAGAAATATTCATTCTTTTGCTAGTTCGGTAGAAGACTACTTCTTCTTTCAATTTTCTTCTCGAAGGAACGATATAATTTGGTTTTCACAAACTTTTCCAATTCCAGATTAATTTTGAACCCGACCTGCCGTTACACTTGCATTCAGGGTCTCCAAACTACAGGCCGGGCAGCAGGTCTTCGGTTGCACACCTGTGACCCACGTGTGACAACACGTGCAGACAATATGTTAAACAGGAAGGCATCGGAGGGAGGAAAGTCGGGATTTACGTTATGCAAAAGGAAACTCCGCGACTACGTCAGATACAGACTCACACAAATTAGTATATCTGATTAGGAGTTTGACGATAGTTTCATGGAAGGCTGAACACGTAAAACTACCAAGCGAGCATATTCGGCGTGGGTGGGGGTGAGGAATTGGGATTATTTTTTGTGGAACGAGGGTGGAGTACCTACCAGAAGTAAATACGTACCATAATGACTCACTATTGAGGACAAATAAGTTTGTTTAAAAAGTGAGGCATCGCGAAACGCTGCAGTCGACTGCGGGGTCTCCAAAGTCACGCAGGCTTTTACAATCACCTTAACGTTCAGGAGGAAATTAGGGCGGTATTCATTAGCCCCGTAAGCCAGAGATGCACAGGATTTACGTGTGTGGTATTAAGACCTAAACTGAAACCACCTTGCTTCGGTGGCACCCGGAAGTGAACGTGGACTCAGAGGCATAAAGAGCTAAACCGCAGGTAAACGCGTCACACACAACCTGATCCCTACTCCACTGACAACAAGCTCCGTTCTGGTCTGCTTCAGATATGTGGTATCGCGAAGGGGCACGATCGACGACGAGGTCTCCATGATCTACAAGGATACTCAGACTTTTGGTCAACGTTAGGGTGAAGGACCCCACTGAACCGTCAGTGGACTGTGGATCCTGTCATACGGGAATGGAATGAGAGTTTTACGGGTGGGGCAGCACGTCAGAAAGTAAGCTGATGAAGTGCATGTAGACACATAATTTTTTGGATTTCTGCCAAAACGTATCGTTGTGTAATGATTTGCCGTACTGACAACACAGGTACTAACTAAAAGCCCAAACACACGTCTTTTGCCGATCATGTGCTGCTGCCTGAAGCAGCTGCGAGGGGTTCAGCTCATCCGTGAGTCTCCCCGCCTTCCTCGTGTGTCTTCTGCTATATGAACTCCAGTCTCAACTTGCCTTGCTTAAATCCCGAGGAAATTAATTTGCGAACTTGGAGTAAATCCCTCGGAAGAGACCTTTTCAGGCACGGTCCGAAATTTAATGTGAATATTTGGGCTGAAATCCATCGGCTACTGCGGAATAACCGCGTAATATTCACAAACCGAAGGATTTATTTCGAGTTTGCGCATTAATTTCCTCGGAAATGAAACAAGGCGACGTGATAAAATTTTTAGACTTTACGCGGTGCCCTGGTGTTGAAGTACAGTCTCACAATCGGAAATTTGGAATGCGAGGAAGGATAAGCACAATGCTAGGAAGAAATACCCAACATAACAGTTCATTGGAATGAAATGTATCGATAAGACTTGAATAGCATTGCATGAGAACTGGTATGAAAAACTATCCGAAGGAAAATAATGCACTTAACAACGGAAAAATATGACACACTCGGAGGAGAAGAAGAAGAAGAAAAAGAAGGAGGAGATGGTGATGGCGGTGGTGTTGGCGGTGGTGATGGTGATGGTGGTGGCAGTAGTGGTGGTGGTGGTGGTGGTAGTGATGATGGTTGTGGTGGT